CCGATGGTGCAAGTTCTAGTCTGAAAGTCAGTAAGCTCAAGATCCAAGAAGAGCCAATTTCTCAGTTCCAGTCCCAAAAGGAAAAGGCCTATGTGCCAGTTCAAGCCGTCAGGCAGAGGAGTTCTTTCAATATGATTGCCATCATTATGTTAATCAAAACTCAGATTTCCAATTTGTTCCTATCTTATTAAAATGGAGTTATTAGTAATTCTGCCTTTACTAGGAGTATTTTTTAAATAACTGGGCTATCATCTTTCTGAAAATGTTTGCTAGGTTATCATGTTGACAGTGACAGATACAGGTGGAAGATCATAAATACAATCACCTCCTTATTGTTGGAGATCACATAGATCCCTTTTAAAATTGTTTTACGGAACATTAATGTCCCACAATATGTTAAGAGATTTGTTAAAAGCATCCCATTGTTGGGGCTGGCCCTGTGGCGCAGCGGTTAAGTTCACACATTCCGCTTTTCTGCGGCCCGGGTTTCGCCGGCTCGGATCCCTGGTGCAGACATGGCAGCGCTTGGCAAAAGCCACGCTGTGGTAGGCGTCCCGCATATAAAGTAGAGGAAGATGGGCATGGATGTTAGCTCAGGGCCAATCTTCCTAAAAAAAAATAAATAAATAAAAAAGCATCCCATTCTTAAATAAGTTTGGGAAACATTGCTTCCTATATCTTTCTCTTGAATATTCATTATGCATAAAGGTACTGAGAAAGCTTACAATAAAGAAACCTGTTTGATTTTGTTTAACTCAGCATTTCCCACACTTGCTTGACTACCACTCCTAAGCACATTCTACCCATGAACACCTCTTGACATCTCTTGAGACATTAGTCTTTCATATAACACTGTTTTGGAAATACTGCCTAGATGATGGTGTTATATATCCTTTAGTTACCTTGTAGCTATATCCAGACCTATAGAGTTATATAACTCTAACTTGAAAAAAAGTTAGTTGAGAGTATGGAAATATTTTGCTAAGTGTAGACTCTGTTCAAACTGAATTAGTGATTTTGAGGCACAAAGGTCTTTAAAAAGTTGTTGTTTCCATTAGTTGCCTCCTATTCCAACTGTTTGATATTTGGTCTTAGTACACAGCTCTAATTGATATTTCCTTGTTTATGCAAAACCATAATCAGTGATGTCAACAGGCCTCCGGAAATAGAATTTCTTAGCTTGTGTTTACTCTATTGGATGCAAAGCAGTAGAGCAGAAAATATTGTAATTCTGAAAAACACTTGCTTTTGCTTTTTGTAAAGGAGGAAGATTTACAATAGGATTTTTAAATGAAGTGATAAGATTTACAATAAATTGTCTATAATTGATTAATTTCTGTAATTATAGTACCTTGCTATTATCTCTAAAGTATTCAAAGATGAAGAAATATTTGGCTTAATAAGCACATTAGAAGGTAAATATTAAGAAAATATAGTTAATGAATGGTTTGGTGTTGATATTTTACAAGGTTAAAACATGTTTTCCTATTGAGTTTTTGTAGTAAAGGAGAAAAGTAAGATGATCTACACAGTACCCATGTCTAGGTCTTAACAATTATATAAAGTGTTTGAAGTGTTAGTTGAAAGAAAAAGCATATTTTGGTAAATATGACTGTTGAAATCTAATGAAAGTTTTTGGTGTGGTCTACTTCATGATGCCTTCAAGAAAAGAGTGTAATCTAGCATATAACCCGTTGTTTTAAAAAAGCCCTGATAAATTTTACCCTCTGTCATACATATGCTTGTTTACGTATTTGTGTTTGTAGCTTCAGGAAGTGCTAATTCTAACATAGGATCTTAGTTTTCTAGTGTGTAGAATTGCTCCCTTAGATATTTTGCTTAAGTAGTTTTTAAAACCCTAGTTTTTACATGCATTCATGTAGTAGCAATAAAAAAGTCTTCACAGAATCTTGCTTGTGTATATGAGAGTCCTATATTTTCTACTTGATAGAAATGTTTGCTTCTCAGCTGCCTGCCTGCTGTGGTGGTTAATATTATGTGTCAACTTCATTGGGCCATGAGGTGCCCAGATATTTGGTCAAATATTATTCTGGGTATGTCTGTGAAGGTTTTTCTGGATGAGATTAATATTTGAATTGGTAGGCTGAATAAAGAAGATTGTCCTCCCTAATGTGGGTGGGCCTCCTGCAATCAGTTGAAGATATGAATAGAACAAAAAGGATGAGTGAGAAGGAGCTCCTTCTGCCTGACGGCTTGAACTGGCACATAGACCTTTTCGTTTTTGGACTGGAACTGAGAAATTGGCTCTTCTTGGATCTTGAGCCTGCTGACTTTCAGACTAGAACTTGCACCATCGGCTCTCCTGGTTCTCAGGCCTTCAGTTTCAAACTAGACCAACGACCATCAGTGTTCATGGTTCTCAGGCCCTTGGACTTGGACTGGAACTACACCACTGACTCCCTTGAGTCTGCAGCTGGCCAACTGCAGATCTTGGAATTCTGTCTCCATAATCCCATGAGTCAATTCATTATATTAAATATCTTTATTTATATCTCTCTCCTCTTGGTTCTGTTTCTCTAGAGAGCCCTGACTAATACACCTGCCTTCCTGTCTTTTTCTTTAAGCCTAGACTAGAGCTATGAAAGTAGTATAATTAAGCAATTGGGTTGTTACAAAGAGTTGGATTTTGTATAATACTTTGTGTAGACATCCCTATCAGATTTTTCAGCCACATCCAGTCACTGAAGCAAAAGATCCATGAGATCAGCCATTATCTTTGTGAGGCTGAATATACTGCATTTAATGACAAAGTTTTGAGGATGCTAACAACTATTAAAATGTCTTTCAATTTTTTTCACATTATCAAAACAATTTTCATCTATCTAGTCAGGTGATTTGGGGCCCTATGAACAGAAAGCGAGGAAAGCTTATTGGGTTTATTAATGGTCTAAAAAGAGATAATATTTTAGAAGTTGTAGTGAAATCTGTGTTATAAGTAGGGGGGTCAGCAAACTTTTTCTGTAAAGGGCTATATAGTAAATGTTTTAGGTTTTGTGGGCCATCTGGTCTGTTATAACTCTGTCCTTACTCTGTCTGCCACGCAACTCTGTCATTGTAGTGGAGAAGCAGTCATAGACAGTCCGTAAACAAATGATTGTGGCTTTGTTCCAATAAAACTTTGTATATAATAAAGTGTGTTCCAATAAAACAGGTGTTGGGCAGAATTGACCTGCCGCCTGAGGTTTGCTAACCCCTGTTATAAAGAATCTTACAAAATTATAGCTACCATTTATTGAGCATCAATAGCATAGTGGGTAATGTTATAGGCATATTGCATTGTTATTTAATTAATCCTCACATCAAAGAGGAAGCTGAGGCTCAGAAGGTTTTAAGTTATTACTCCAAGGTCACATAGCAAGTTGCAGAGTCATTACTGGAACCAAGATTTATCTTCAAAGGTGATGATATATTTATTCTTTACATGAAGGAAAACATTCTGTGAGTTTAAGAACTTTGCTTTCTATATTCTAAAAGAACTAGGTTGTAAAATTATAAAGTCGAGCTACAGTGATCCTACCAGAAATCATTTCATAGCTGATGGAACCATTGGCCAAAGAAAACTCTGAAAATTTAAATTGGGGTAACCAACTAGGGACTTCCAGGGCACTAGTGTCTCCCTAAGCTATTTACACTGCTGTGATCATAGGCATTTTTGAGACCTTCCATGGCACCAGTTGCCTGAAAGTTCTCTTTTTTGACTTTGTAGAGGAACTATGTTGGCTGCTCTGGGTAAGTTCTTGGAAGAAAGCTTAGCAGCATTCTAAGCTTCTCCTCTCAAAATTCAGAACCAGAGGCCAGAAATACCTCAGCAATTTGGAGAGGATAGTGGGCAACGATGAGGATCTTTGATCCTAAAAAATTGATAAAGAAATTATCTAATTAAGCTGTCATCTTACCTTCACCATCTTAGTGCTCCTGGCCTTGAAACAAACTTGATTTATGTAGAGATTACATTAAACTCTGCCTTACATGAACAAATCTTTGAAAAAAAATGCATTTTCTCTTTTCTCATGAAAGCTTCTGGTATCCCTGAAACTCTAAACCTAGGAGTGAGAGGGCTGTTGAAATTAGGGAAAACATCAGTGATATGTCATGTCAGTGTGTCTATGTATGTGTGAGCATGTGGTAGGAGATAAGAAAAGCTCTACAACCTAAATCCCTCTCCTCTTCCTTTTTTTTCCCCTCAAGATTGTAAGTCCCTTCTGATTTTTAAAAGCCTGATCAGATTATTTATTTATTCTGCACAATTATTTTTTTGGTACCTCCTATGTGCCAGGCATGATGCTAGCATTGAGGATATATTGAGTTAGACCTACTGTCTTAAAAGAGGTTACGTTCTAGTTGGAGAGAGAAGCAAATTTATAGATAATTTTAATACTGTGTATTAAATGCTAAAACATGAGAAAGCATATAGGAAAGACATATAACCCTACTTTGGGAGTCAGAGAAGGCTTTCTGGAAGAGATAAAATCTAAGCTAAGTCATGAAGAAGAGGAACTAAACCAGACAACAAGCCAGGGTGAATCTCATCTGAATTTTCTCCAGCTGAATCAACGTGATTCATCTGAATTAAGCATGCCTAACACTGAGCATTTAAAAAGAAAAGAGGTCTCCTTATTGAGTGCCATGAACCAAAAAGAGGAGATAGATTTGACATCAATCTCTCATCCCAAGTCTAGTCTCAAGAAGGCAATATTTGCTTATAGCCTGAACATTCTCTTCATCAGTGTAAATGTGGCTGGCAATGAATAAAATGATAGCGGCCCTTTTTGACTATTTGGGCCCCTTTTTTGGTTACCAGTTCTAACAGAGGAAGTCATTGAGTTAAGTTGGGCTCAAATCTTCATGAATAAGGATAAGAGAAACTATGACAAATCCACTAAGGTCCACCACACCCTACTTATGCTTTGCCCCACAGTCTTTTATGTTAGAAGTGGGCTAATCTCTCACTTTCTCCTTCCCTTTCCTGCCTCTCTTAGGTGATATAATCACAAATGGAATTTCAAGAAACATTTTATGTAAGTTCTGACCTTGAAATACCTTGTAATCCTAAGAAGTTTGGACTTTATCCTGAGGGCAAAGAAATGACATAAACAGGTCATTCCAGCTGCAGTGTGAAGAATGGGTGAAGTAGGGCAAACTGGAGGCAGTGACACAAATTAGGCACCTTGATGAGAGCGGATAATGACCTCAAGTAGGATAAAGGCCGTGGGAATGGAGAGAGAAGTAGGTGATTTGAGAGAAATTTAGATGATAGAATAAATAGGACTTGGTGACTGACTGAATATGATGGGGCTGGTGAATGAGGGGCAGGAGTCAAGATTGATGGTCAGGGCAACGTAGTAGATAGTGGTGCTTGTATGACGATTGAGAACATAAAAGGAGGAGTGTTAAGGAGTTCCCACGCAACAGTCAGTCACTAGGTTGGCTCACTCCACTTCTATAGATTCCTGTGATGAGGAAACAGTAAACCCAGATAGATTTAGATTATTTCTCAAGGCAAAGTAGACAGCATGATTTTCATGTTCGTATATGTTCCCCAAGTCCTGTAATATAGAATGGGGCCCAGGTAGACACTGTGCACACAGTGGATCTCTGTGCTCCCAATCTTCTAAGGGGTTGCCAGCAAACCTGCCCAGCCTTTGTCTTGAGGGGGTGACATTATCTTTATTATCCTCATCAGGAAACCTTATGCCCTCTAAGCGAGAGGGATACACTATTTCTAGTCTGAGACACACGGAAACACCATGGAAAATTGCCTCCTAACAGCAAGGTAATGATTTCAGTTTTGACATATTAAATTTAAAATGCTCATTGTATCTAAATAAAGATATTCAGTAGAGAGTAAACTATAAGAATATTCAGGATAGTGTTTATGGAAATGAGATAATAAAAAATAGAATCTACAAACTGGCTATGTCAAAATAATAATGTTGATAGTCATTTGTAAGACAGTCACAGCAGTGGTTACCAAGTTGCCTAATTAACCGCTATGATATCATTAATATGTGTAAGACTTATTATTTTATCTATTATAGACTGAATTCACCTAGGCTTAGTCTTCTGTTGCTCATGAGGTTTGATGATCTGCTAACAACCTCAAAAAATTAGAAAGTAGTGTGGTGGCAGGATATTTATGATAGACTATGGAACTCACCTTATAATTGTGACTTTTGCTCAATTTAATCTAGACCAGCCCTCTCCAATAGAAATTAAATGTGAGCCACATATGTAATTTAAAATTTTCTAATAGCCACATTAAAAAAATGAAGAGGAAACAGGTGTGATTAATGTGTTTTATTTAATCCAATACCTCAAAAATAGTATTTCAACATGTAATCAACATAAAATTATTAGTGAGATATTTTACATTTTTTTCATACTAAATCTTTGAAATCTGATGTGTATCTTACACTTATGATATGTCTCAATTTGGACTAGGTAAATTATGAATACTCAATAGACACATGTAGCTACTGGCTACCATATTGGCCAGCTCATGTCTAGAGCTCAAGAACAAGAAGTTATATTTCATCATATGTGATGAATACAGTTCTTCTTTGTATGTTAGAAGATAAAACACAATGGTATGCTTTTTATCTTAGATGATTGAAAACTGCAGGATAACTACAATTAAAAACAAGTGACCACTGAATTTACTTGGTTTTTTTTTTGAGGAGATCATGAGTTTCAGCTTAGATAAGTAGATCTTACAGTGCCTAAAATAGACACCTTGGAAAGTGAGTTAGGTCTTTAGGGTGTATTGTTGGTAAAACACTCAAAGATTTCACTAAATGACTGGGTAGGCAGGAGATTTAAAGTTCAATGTATGTCACTTACCTTGGAGAATAAATTACATCTTGGTAGAATTTGTTCTATTATCTTATATAATGAGGTGCCTTATCATTTTGTGGCTTGTAAACATTTACTTATTTGTCGTATTAACAAATTTGTTGATTGTGCTATGTTGACACATCTTGAAAACCCAGAAGATTTCTGTTATGTAATTTAATGAAAAACAGACATTGAAATTCAGCCACCCTATATGCTCTCAATATAGCAATTGGAAATAATGTACTTTTAAAGGGCTGATGTATGTTAGTAGTTTTAGAAAAAGACTAGTTAACTAGTTTGAAAAACTGAAGACCTTCTAAGAAACTGATGATACATAGTAATGACTTACTGAGTTTGCTCTTGGTGAGCCCAATAAGTCATGGAATTTGCTGTGTCTTTTAGCAAGGACACCTTTAACCCTAATCTATGATATGCAGTTGCGTTGAATTGCATATTGATGTGATGTGCTCAAGGTGTAGTGAGTTTCTTTGCTGAATGTGAGTGAAAGCACTTGATTACTTGTAAAGCCTGTGGCTATCTCTTCAATGTTGATTATCATCTGTGAGTCTTTGTTGAGGATTTTTTGTTTGTTTTTTAAAGACTTAGCACTTGGGAAAAGCCATGGTAAGTGTTAATATAGTTAAAGTTTTCTTTTAGAGAGTGTTCCATAGGAAAAGACAACTAGTTCTATGTTATTCTTGTTTATTGATGCTTTTATTTAGGAGCAAACAGCTTTAAAAAATAGATTAATTTATAGAAAAGTGATAGAGAAGTGGATGTGCTGTGTATAATAAGGAAGTGAAGTGCGTAAAGAATCGAAAAAGGAATTCAGAAGCAGCCGGGTGAGTAACATCTACTTTGTTTTCCATGACCCAGGAAGACTATGTGTACACCGGTAAACACTTGTCAATCCACTAGGGTGAAATAAACCAGTAAGGGTTAAGATCATGCTTCTGACAACCATTCATGGGTTAAACCTATTTTATATCTTGCTTTGAAATGAAGCTTTGGGAATGAAGGGGTTACCATCAAAAGGTTTTCAAATAGTGCCTTAAAAAGTTTGAAAATCCTGAGAAGAGAATGTTTGAGCTATGGTTTGAAGGAAATGAGTGAGCGAGCCCTGCAGGTGCATGGGGAGGCAAAGGACACAGTGGATGCCAAGCCCCTAATGGAGGAGCATACCTGGAAGGTTAGAGTGGCAGCGTGGTGGCCAGTGTGGCCACAGAAACAGGGGTGTTACCATCATTTGTTCTCAGTCTTCTCTATATGCTAGGTACTTTTTGTACAAACCTGACTTGAGATAGGGAAAATTGGAGAAAAAAAATGTTACAACAGAACATTGGGTTCCAAACTCTTAAAAACATTGTTTGGAAGTAAATCCCAAAATATAAAATAAAAGAAAGTGATGTTGCTGCCCCCAAAATGATAGGGACATGTCAAAAAGCCTTGAGAATCAGATCAGAGGGGTTCCCACTGGCTAAATCTGAGAATTTGAGCTTCAAAATAATGAGATTAATGAGTTTTAATACATTAAATAAAAAAAATCCTTGAGTCCATACTTATAATAAACAAACAAACAAACAAATAAATAAGGAAGTAGGATACCAACTAATAAATGTAGGAGGAATGATGGTGTTAGAAAATCACCAGTTTTGCAACCATTTTAACTATCAGACAAGAATCATCAGTGGATGCTAAAACCAGTGGGTAAAAATTTGATGAGGACTAGAGTATTTGCAAAATCTTAAAAATATCTCTCCATGAATTATTCTTTAATAGCAAAAGAAAAACAGGAACTTTACTGTGAAGTAACCTGGTAGACACCACCTTAACCACTTAAGTAATTAATCAAAGTTAATATTGCCAATAATTGGGCAAACTAATATCATATGCTTCCTAATGTGTTGAGAAGAACACAACATCATTTATATAGTATTCCTGCCAAAAATATATAACTTAAGTTTAATTATGAGGAAATATTATACAAACCCAAACTGAGGGATTTTTACAAAGGAAATTGCATGTACTATTCATAAACGTCAATGTTGTGAAAGACTAAGAAAGGCTGATTCTGGACCAGGAAAACAAAAATTGCTATAAAGGGCATTTTGGGGACAATTGGCAAAATTTAAATAAATTCCATAGATTAGAAAATAGCATTATGTCAGTATTAAATTTCCTGATTTTGGTTATTGTACTATGTTAATATAAGTGAATATTCTTGTTCCTGGGAAATCCGCACTGAAGTATTGAGAGGTAATGGAACATGACATTTATAACTTAAAATAATTCAGAAAATAAAAGATACTTAAATAAAGAGAGAAAGAAGAAGAGGAAAAGAGAGGAGGGGAGGGGGGAAAGAATGATAAAGCAGTTGTGACAAAATGTTAATCTGGGTCAAGCACATGCAGGAGTTCTTTATGCTATGCTTGCAACTTTTTTATAAGTTTAAAATTATTTCAAAATAAAAAGCTGTAAAGAAAAAGTGATGGTGTGCTGGATGAAATGGGCCTGGAGCACCTTTTATTTGTTGTCCCCTCGTTTACTCATTTTCTTTTCAGAAGGACCCCTGAGGCACCTCAAATACAGTTTGAAACTCACTGCACTAGAGTGATTATTCCTTCCAGCAGTGAAAGGGAAGAAAGCAAATAATTTTGCATGTAATAATGAGTTTATATAGGAAAGGGTATATCTAATATTTCACTAGCTATGAGAACAAACTACTGGTCCTTTTAAATATTGCTAATGTGTAGCTACTGTTGGTAAATATTGATAGACACCTAAAAGAAAAAGCATATGGAAAATAATTAGCCACTAGGGTAAAGTCTATATTTGGCCCAAGGGTTCAAGCAATTGTAAGAGTTCCTGTAGGTAGTTAGAAAGAAACTTATGTAGGTAGCTGCAGTAAAATTTACTTTTTCTTTAGGTTTATATTTGCAACTAGAATGAGGTGTGGGAAAGAGAAGCGTGGAAATTCTAGTTTAAGTTTATAATCATGATATGGGTGGTTGCTATCACTAGTATGACAAGGTTATAGTGAACTTTAAAAGCTAGAAGACAGATGATGAAAAAAATGATTGAGGATGGACAAGAGAGCAGTCAAAGGAGCAACGTTTTAAAAAAGCATCACACTTGAGCTGCTGTACGGAGTCAGCGCCCTCTACGGACTTCCTGGAAATAGCACCTATAATATCAAAAAGAGGATCCTGACCTCAGGCAGGCGTCATTTCCCTGTGTTTCCTAGAGTTAACAACATAATCCCTGTGCAATATAGTGCTTCAAGAAGAGCGGAATTTGAAGGTCTAGAACACATTGTGGACTACTTCTGAAATTAGGGAATTATTATAAGCACGTGAATAGCATATAGATTGTTTTAGTTTGACTGCAAGGGAACTCTAGTTTCCTTAAAGGAAAAAACTGACAAAGGGGAATAACATAAGTCAACTTCTTTTGATAATTTATGAGTTAAATAGTAAAACCTTGTAAGAGATGAGATATAAGAAAAGTGGGGAAATTTTTATATAATACATGAAAAAACATAGTTTTCAGAACTGCCACAATATGTCAGAAAATAAAAGGGGTAGTTATGGCATAGAGAGCAGATAAAGAAAGAGTGAAAATAAACTTCACTAAAAGTTGAATAGTACTTATATCACAATGAAGAAGACGAGCAGTAATGCTTATAGTGCACCAGTGATTGCGTGTACAGAGCCTGTGCTTTCTTGGCAGTTTGGGAAATAGTAAAATGAAAAATGACTTCTTATGACAAAAGTGATATAGGAGTAAAAAGCTCTATTGTTATAAAAATGCCCCTTTCTTAGAGATTAAGAAAAATATAAATTAAAAAAAGAGATGTTAAATGGAAAATGATCTGTAATTTTAATCTTTGTGGACATGGTGTGAAAGTAGGTAGAACTAAATCAAGGAGGAAAGCATGTTGACAAAAGGAACCATAACTGTAGGCAGTGTATAGAGAGGGTGCTTTGTAAAGTTCTGCGATAGAATGGCAACGAAGCATCAGTGGTAATTGGAATAAGGAAGGTGGAGAATGAATGATTTAATGACCACTTACAATAGTTATTACTCTCTAAGCTAGGATAAGAAGAGCAACCAAACTGGGCCTCCAGGACACAAGGTGGTTGGCTAAAGGAGTCAGGAAGAAGTTGTTCTGGTTGGTGTAGCCTTTGATAGCTGCTCAGGTACCCTCTTTGCCCCAGGTATTATCTATGACTGTCTGCAGAACTCAGACATGGACTGCTCAATGGTCTGCTGGTCTTTAGAACATCCTATATTTTAATGATCTTGACAAATGCTTGGAAAATGTGCAGCAAACATAGAAATGTTGGTGTTTCAGTAGAATTAATGACCACATCTGTCATTTGATTGGAGTTTTCATTTAAATCCTCAGGCCTAGTGATGACTTTCCAGTCACAGATTTTATTGAAAGGATGGACTATATATAACATCTGACATTTTTGATTCTTATAATGGACTAGGTTTTAAATACTGGAACCACAGTTCTGCCCGATGAAAAGCACAGGTGTTCTGACAAGCAATAGAAACAAATAAGATGTGGTATTTTTGTTTTCTAAAATAGCGTGCACACATATAGTACATGCAAGGATCCAGAATACAAGGCTGATTTAACGGCAATCAAATTTTAGTAGAATTTACTTGATTGTAACATCTTCCTTTTAGGCTGGAATATGATATCTTAAGGAGATCAGACAAATTACTCATTCTGGGAACAAAGACTTTTGAAAGCTGCCAGCTTACTGACAGTTATGATGAGCATTTAATTCAGGCTTATAAAACATATTAATCAAACTTGTTCACAGCCTCGTGGTCCAAAGAGGGTTATTTTATTTTTGAGACATACTTTAAATAACTGAAGAGCACTGGTAACATTCTCTACGAATACAAAGCTACAATGTTTTTTTCTTCAAAATGAGTAAATACTTTTCTCAGGCTTAAAGAATGAAGAATACTACAGGAATCTGTTTATTACAAGACTATTTTCAAAAGACCTATGCACCATTCATTGAACCTTGAGAAACACTTGAAAATATGGGTTGCATTTGCAAACTTCAGTGTATGACATGGAAAGCTGGCAAGCTGCCTGGCTTCTACTTAAAGGATTGTCATTCTGGGAAAAATAAATTTCTCTAACTAGACAAAAGTCAATGTTTTCATGTTTTACTGCAATCAAACTGATAGAGCTGACAATTTAATGTCTCAACACTTAAAATATCTGTGGATAATCAGTTACCTCAATCAATCATAAACACAAATCCTTCTATTTTTGAAGCTTGTGTGTCTGTGACTCAGATAGAAAACAGTTTGGTGAGCCCCTTCCCCCACAACACCTCATCATCTATCCCCCACTCCTCCCAATATTCCTGACTTGTCTTTAGCTATGCGGATATTTATACACATTATGCATCTGGAAATAACTTTTAACAACTCAAGTGTGATCAAATTTAGAAACTTTTCTTTCGCTGTCCTGTTTTATTTAATTTTTATGGGTAGTTTATAGACTCAATGCCTGTCAGAAAAATGTAGAAGTGTGCTGGCATTCCAGCTGAAGACATCATTACGAGTGAAAAAATGCTCAAGGCTTTTTCAAAGTGGGTGCTGAAACATACATTTCCTTTCTCTGACTCCAGGGGATGCTGGTAGCTACCCCAAACAAACAGGTATTTTGGGGTCAAGTGGTATGGTGCCGGCCCCTTAGGATTTCCTGGCAAGCACACTGAATGGCTCATTTCTGGAAACTAATCATAATGATGATGATGATAAAGCAAGGGAGGCAGTGACAAAACATAAAAAGCCGCCTGAGGAA